TTTCTTCATAAATCGATTATCTCAGATATTACAGTGATAAAAAGCTAACTGATACATGCCCTTTCTGAGGCTGACCAACATATACTATCTTTGTACATCTGTGAGTCATAATTTCTTGTAAGATCATCAGTTATACTGAATTAAGGCCCATCCCTATGACCACATTGTACCTTAAATACCTCTTTAAGGACTTTGACTCCAAATATAGTCACATTCTAAGGTACTGGGGATTAGAGTTTCAACACAGAGATTTGGGGAGGATACAATTTAGCCAATAACCACATTCATTACTGAGCATGTCAGAGAAGGTGGAAAGCTCTGCAGAGGTCTGTTAGGATCCCATTACCTTTGTCAACCCCTGACTCAAACCTCCTTTGTGATGTCACAATGCTAGTCAATACATTACATGTTATTCTTAACATGAGCTACTTATATTTCCCCCTCTGTCCCCACCATCTTTCATTCATCCTACTTCAGCTCATTTCCCTTTATTTTCCTCATATGATCATGCTTATAGGATCTTGTACCCAGTGCTGAACTGACCATCTATAATTTCTCAACTGAGCACCCACTTTGTATCTCTCTTGAGATCCTTCTCATCCAGACCTCTCAACTTTTGCAAGAAAGAAGGACACATTTCCAAGAAAGCTTCGATATTTTACTATATTGTGCTGGCTGGGTCCTCATCTACTATAAATTTCTCTAATTAAAGGTAACTTAATGTTAAAGGACTGAGGAATGAGATAGTGAGAGCTGGATTTCTCATAGTGTGGTCTTCAGACCACAGATACGAACAAGAAAGGCCTCCAAAGTTACTTCAAAGTGTGATATTGTTACAATTAAATGTTTTGCTGCCTTTCATTCTAGAAGCCATACTTGCTAATACAGACACCTCACAAAACAATATGAATCAGAGGGGAAAAGGATCAATAATTATCAACGAGATAATTATTTGGACATTTAACTGCATTTTCTGTATTTTCATGAGTATCTGTTTACTTAGTGCTCTGTTTTGAATGTGTTCCTTAAAAGTTCATGGATCTACCCCTTAATCCTGAATCCCTAGCAACCATTAATCTGCTTTGTACCTCCATAGATTTTTCTTGGAATATTCAATATACACAGAATCATATGGCATAACCATTTGTGTCTGGCTTCTTTCACTTGGTATAGTATTTTCAAGGCTCATTCGTTTGTAGCCTGTTTCAGTGCTTGTAATGTATACTTACATTTCCTTTAAGACTCATATAGTGTTAGCTCTTAAATTAAGGTCTTTTCCATTTTGAGTAAATTTTTATATATAGGGATCCAACTCCATTACTTTGCATACAAGTATACAATTGTTCCAGTACCATTTACTGATAAGACTATTCTTTCCCCTATTGAATTATCTTAATATCTTTATTGAAAAGGCAACTGACCATAACAATATGAGTGTTTCATATTATCATGTTCTTTTAATATTAAGATAATCACAAAATTGATCTTTCAATATGAAGCATTGCAATGGCAAACAGAAACACTGAAATGAAACCCAGGATTTGGAGGCAGATTTATTTTACTTTAGATGGGCACTGACAAAGAATCAATCCTTATAAAAATGTCAAGTCTCAAAAGCCCAGGGAGGGAGGTTTTTATGGGGTTTCAAATGGGAGGTACAGAGGTAGAGTATTTGGCTGTCTTTATTGGTTACTAAAATATGCATCATAGTGATCAACCATTTCTAAGAAGCAGAAGCAACCGGAACTGCAACAGGAACTGTCATCTGGGTAACTGAAGTATACTGGCTGGGGCAGGGGGCATTTTCTGCTACAATATTAATTTTTAAATATCCTTAGTCAAGAGATGACCCAAACCCAGTCCTAGTAAATTACTCCTTTCACATTCTTTTAAATTCAGTTATTATTTTATGTTTATAAATGAAATTAGGGCTTGGGATGTGGCTCAGTGGTAGAATTCTTGCCTTGCATGCACAAGTCCCTGGGTTTGATCCCCAGCACCATGAAAAAAATGAAGTGTATAAATGAGATTGATAGGTTATTTTTTTAGGGCCATCTTTGCTGTTTTTTGTAATCGGGTTTATGAAAGTTTCATAAAACAAGCTCTATCTTTTCCTAAGGTTTGAGAAAGCAAAAGTGGTCCATGATCTAAAATGTCTGGAGGTCCCTTGAATCCTCTAGAAGTGTTCCCCTCACCCTGATACTTATCTGCAGAGGTCCCATTTGTGTGCAAATGTTTAAACCACAAATGAATACTTTGTTGAGTTGCAATTGTGCTTTAAGAACAAGTCACTACTTTATCCTCTCCTCTCCCATCTATACCAGCTGAAGTCATCCCTGGTAAGCAAAAAAGTTTTCTTGCCAAGTCAGTATCATCCTTTACTTGTCCTAATCATCCGTCGTCTTTTCCAAAATCTCCAGCCACTGTTACTCAACCGAAAGAAAACACAGCCTGTGCATTGATGCCTTGGCTTTCCTGCATACCTTGCATCTGTCTTTACATGCAGGTTTGAGTCTCAGTGTGTTATGGTGGCTAGAACGTAGATTTTGGGCCAGGCTGTTTGTGTGTGAGCCTGATTCTGCCCTACACAAGCCATCGGACCTTGCCAGGTATCGGCACACTCACTGATAAAATAGGGATAATAACAGAAGTGACAGCTCATGGGATTGTAGAGCACACATGTGATTTAATTTAAAAATTGTTTAAGACAATGCCTAACCCATAGGATATCAGAATTTAGCATATAAATATGTCTTTTAAAGGTTGAAATTCCAAACCTTAGTACTATGCTACTATGGTAAGTTTTCTCACCCATTGATTTTTTTCATCAGTGTTCAATATTTTGATCAACATTTAAATATTCCCCTCATTAGTACTTTTTTGGCTCAGCAGCCTGCCTGTCCCTTAGATTGTCCCTGGATTCATCCCACCTACTGAGCCCCTTCAATACCCTGAATCTCTTCAAAGAAAAGTTTGACGCAGTCAGGCTCCTTTTTCTCTCCTCTAAATCTTCCAGCCCACAGCAAGTTGAAGAAGCCTCTGGCCTCAGCTACACCTTCACAAGACTGATGTCATCCTTGCAGCTGATGCCCATTCTGAGCTGACTCACAGGTTCCTGCTGCCCTGGACCAGCAGGGGGAATGCGACCAAGACAAGGCTCATGAGCCTCAGCTAATCTGTCTCCATCCTCGTTACCAAAAACCAGCCTCCTTCCAGATGTTGCTGTCTCAAAATCAGCTTGTTCCAAATCAGCATCCCAGCCAGTGTTTGCTCCTCCTCCTTCTCATTTCTCCTTCTCCCCTCTTGTTCTCTCTTTCCCATTGTTTTATTTGCAAATGGCACCAACATACACCACTCACCCGCAAATAGCTGACAGTAATTCTGGACAGCGTACTCTCACCAACTTCATCAAACATTAGCTATGCTCAAGTATCCCTCACATTCCTCCTGCCACCAGCTCTTTTACCTTGTTCACAGCAGTGCTGGCTCTGACCTATCCTTTACTGTGAAAGGGTGATCTTTCACAAATGCAAATCCAGCTTGCTTAACATCTCTCAAGAGCTCTTTGTCATGGGGAGTGGGTTTCAAGGTCCAAAGCCCTTTTTGATCTACTACTACCTTGTCAGTGCTACCACCTTTCCTGGCCTGGACTTCTGCAGGAGACTCCTAGTGATCTCTCCACTTCTCCTTTCTGTGGTGTCAACCTGATCTTGTCACTTCTCAGTGATAGCTGTGCATACTACACTAAGGCAGCCTGAGGAAGAAGGCCCCGTTGGAAAAGTGACACAAAGACTGAAACACCAGGTGAGCACAGGATCAGCCAAAGGAAGATAGAGGGTTGTGTTCCACTTAGCGGAGGGAGAGCATGGAGTGGAAACAGAGGACACTGAGAGATGGCAACAGAAACAGTAAAAAAGGCTGTTGGTAGTTTTTAAAAAAAAGGTACCCAAGCTCACAGAGCACCATCCACATCAGCTTTCCATTCTTTGTTCACACTTTATCCCCAGTGCAGTGCCTGACACAGGTAGGTGCTAAATTTTTACAGAGTGCTTGGAGAGATAAACACCTCCAGCACTGCAGCCAGATCAAGTGACTAGCAAGTCCCTAAATATCCTGTGTCATTCCCTCTTCTAAGGTCCCATATTTGTCTAGCCCATTGGTTCTCACCTAGGGACAACTTTGTCCCCAGGAAACATTTCTAATGGTCACAACTGCAAGGGGAGGGAACGCTAATGGTGGCACCTGGTGGGTGGAGGGCATTTCCCAAAACAGAACTATTCACCTGTGATATCTGCAATGCTGTCCCTGAGAAAGTCTCTTCCATGATTCACTGCTCCTCCAAGCCCCATCACCATTGCTTTTGGGAAGTTTTTCATTGGGATCCAACAGCCTGTGTGTGGGGACCACTTCTGGGTGCCCTCATTCTCCTCAATGTGGTCCACCCCTGACCTGGTGTCTGTTCTTTCTTTCCCTGGAATAATGGAGTTTGGTGTACAGGGTAATCCAAAAATCCAAAATATTCCAAAATCCTTTGTGCAGTCAGAGGCAAAACACAGGTACACTAAAAATAAAATTACCATCAGGAAACTATGTAAAGATGCATATGAAGCACAAATGAATTTTACGTTTAGCTGTGGGCCCCCCATCCCTGAATATCTGATTACTTGTATGCAAATATTTCAATGTCTCAAAAAATTTGAGAGTTCTCTGGGCACTAGCATTTGTAATAAAGGTTTCTCCCAGCCATTGGCAGGTGTACCTAACACAGTGAGCCAAGACTGACGTCTTTTCTTGAAGGAATGCCCCTGGCAGGAGGGTGCAGGCAAACTTCATGGCAACGTTTAACAGACCTATAGATGACACGCAGGAACTCAGATCAGGACTTCCCTAGCCCCATCTCCACCCTGTGGAGCTGCCTTCCTCCCATCATCTGTGCCACTTTGTCACCTACAGAACGGATGCCACCTGATGGCATGGTTCAAAGAGTCACTGCCTTCCACTATGAGTTATTCAAGTTTAATCCCAATAACATAAGAATAGAACTCAGGCAAAGGACGGATTCCTAACAATGTAAAAATAGAGCTGAATCTTCATTTGCAGTGGGCTCGCCTGGGATCCACATCTTGTACAGCAAGCAAGGACCCTGTAGAGCCCCCTGCAAAATCGGAGTCCCTGCGGCTTGCGCGGCCTTCAGATCCTGCACCATCGGAAACACTCCCAAGCTCTCTTCTTTGCCCAGGGGGTTTTGAAACGCTGCGCCCTGGGAGGGGCTCCATACCCCTGCGCCCTGGCTCTGATCCTGGTGGCTGGAAGGGGGGCCGGCCTGGGAGCTGGACAGAGGGTCAGGGGCGCCTGCCCTGTACTTCACTGCTGCTGTTGGCGTGACCGAGGGTCCTCGCCGAGAGGCCAGGCACGTTGCTCGCCTCCCACCTCCGGGCTAGGCTCCTGGCCCTCAAGCTCGGGGTCCTGCGCTCGGCCCTGCGCGCGCCGCCTCTCCAGCATCTCCTCGAAAAAGATCTGGCAGCTGAAGCCCTCATGGACGCCGTGCTGTGCGTGCTCCAGTAGCGCAGGCAGCGAGGGGAAGACGCGGCAACAGGCAACACAACGCAGCCCGTGTCTGGTGGTGACCAGTGAGTCCGGCGGCTCGCGCAGCTCCTGCTCCAGCTCCGCGTCTTCGCGTCCCGCGTCGTCCTCGGGCTCCCCTTCATGCTCGTCACCGCAAGCCTCTAGGTCCGCGCGCAGGTCGGTGTTGGAGGCCACCTCAAAGGAAGAGCCCCACCGCCGCTGCCGCCCGAGGAACTGGGCCTCTCGGACGCGCGGCTGGCTGCTGATGGGCGCGAAGCCCGCCTCGGTCTCCCAGGCCACAGCCACGCCGCGCACGGTCTGCACGCGGGTATACAGCGCGGGCACGCTTCGTGGGCCAGGGTCCGGGTCCCCCTGAGCACACAGGCCGCAAGGAGGCCGCGGGGAGTAGGAGCGGTAGGAGGATGAGGACACGGATGAGGGTGAGGAGGGGCTCCAGCCCAGCGTGATGCGCCACCGCGTCCTCGGGGAGAGGTTGTCTGCGCGGGCCAGCGCTGGCCCCTCTGTGGTTTCTGTGGAACCCAAGGACAAGGCGTCAATGCCCTTCATAGATACAGACAGGGTGTAACCTACCTCCTGGAGTTGCAGGCACAAAGGGGCCCTTGGGACAGCCGCCTGCCTTTGCCCGTTTCCTGCTGACATGGGGTGACAGTGCCTATCCCAGTGACAGTGCGGGATGATCAAGGGCAGCTCCCAAAGGCCACCAATGGATAAATACAGAGACAGCAGTTTGCCCTCATGGGATAGGTGCTCTAGACACCACGTGGTCCCACTCCTGGGTAAATGGAGGTTACTGGACATGTATGTGTGGAGTGAAACAAATTTACTAGACAGAGCCACACTCAGAAGGCCACACGGGACAGCTGCCAGTGAGGTGACATTGTAGAAAAGGCAAAGCAAAGCTACAGTGACAGAACAGGCTGCAGGGCACTGGGGAGGCTGCCATACAGGTGCATGAGGCTGCTGGAGCTTGGGATGACGATGCCCTGTGGGCTGTGACTGTGGTGGTTCCATATGGGACACATGTCACAGTTCTCCAAAGCTGACACTTAGCTGTTGGAGGCTGTATACACAGACATGGCGGGCTCCATGACGATGTTCAAAGAGCAAGGCTGCCCACCATACCTTCCTCATGCCATTTGTGACGGGTCTGTGTCTTACCCAGGGCATCTTGCCCTCTCCTAGGACTTAATGTGACACTTACTGTGTCACTTTCACCGTGTAAGTACATACCATGTTTTAACTCTTAACATTCAAAACATCTGTAAGGTTTAACTGTTTTGATTCCCGTTCAACAAAAGAGGAAACCAAGGCACAGAGAATGTAAGTGCCTGACACAGCTACTCTGCCTCAAGAGCAGCATTACCCTGACAGGCTAAGCATGGAGACACCCTGATCTCAGTCTGTTATAAGGGGATTGTTATGTCACAGCCAGAGTTATAGCATTGCCACGTTGTTTTATCAAATACACATTAAAATACATCCATTTTATGTTTCCATCCACACAGCTCCTGAAACCACTTCCAGTACTCACCCACGCCTAGGTCATTGGCAAATTGGCAAAGGCCAGTTTCCTTGCCCTCTTCTGGCCTATCTTTGTGGTCAGCACACCCTTAGCATCGATGATCACCTGGCACCCCAGGGCATTCTTTCAAGGGTGCCCAATCGGCTTACCCTCGCCCTCTCTTTTTCCCTACCTGGCCAGAACATTTCCAGACTGCCCTCTGTGGACTCGGGGCTGGTCACACTGAGGGTGGTCCCATCAGTTGTGGAATCTTCTCCCCGAAGGTCCTTGAAGTGGCGTCTCATGATTTGAAACCACACCTGGTGCTCTGTGCCACTGCTGTGAGTTGGCTTGGGCAGTGCTGAGCCCTCCAGCTGGTCCTGGCCCGAGTGGCCCCTGGGCTGCCACAGTTACTAGGTTCCTGGCTTTGCTCTGTGATGTCACCAGTGACCCGGTCTGTTTTGAGCCTAGGAGCCAGGCCAGGCTTCCCAATATGAGCTCATTTCCTCTGGAGATGTAGCCCTGTCATGTGTGTTACCAGGATCACACACAAAACATAGACCACTACAGGTGCACACAAGTATAAGACACAAACACATAAGCACATACATAGACACGTAAACACATACATCACCCATGATCGCTCAGATACACATGCAGGTGAACACACAAAGGCACATAGCCCACAGTGACATCAAAAAATACATAGAACTGACACAGACACACACACATAGACATTTACAGGAGATACACTTTCATGCACACACACTCATACCAGATACGCTGAGCCGCACATCCAATCATAGACATCTAGTCATCACCCAGGAGCAGAAGAGTCCTGCCTCGTGGGGCAGGGCGGTGCACACCTGCAATCTCAGCACTTAGTCTCAGGGAGGTTTGGCAGGAAGGTGGCAGGTTTGAGCACAGCAACTCAGTGACTTAGTGAGATCCATTCTCAGAAAGTAGAAAGGTCTGGGGACGTAGCTCAGTGTGAAAGCCCTGGGTTCAATCCCCAGCACCAAAAAATAATAGGTCCTACTTTCCACTATGTACACACTGGAAGATCACACTTGTCACTTCCCAGAGTTCCTCACCAGCTCTGCTCTGCATCCTGCTGTCCCCCAGCTCTCCTCCTGCACAACTCCACAACCCCAGCCTCTACTCTGCACCAACACACCAGGGCCCCCCAGGCCAGGCCCCGAGCCCCTCACTCCCTCTTCCTCCAGGCTGCCTCCCACCTCCCTGTGGGGCTCACTGTCATCCTGACTGTGCTGAAATTGTCACCTTCTCTGAGCAGCCCACTCCCAGCATGGGGTCTGAAGTCACCAGCCCACCCTCAAACTTTCCCTGGCTTTCTCTCCCCTGATATAAAAGAGGAAGAGGAATCAAGCGATAGTGCAAAGCAAAAGTGAAAGTGAGCTTATTTGCAAAAGGAAGCAATCAAAGCCACTGTGAGAAGTAGGGGTCCCAGAGCGGGGTAACCGTTGAATATGGGGCAGTGCATCTGTTTTATGGGGTCCGGACCTGGGCACTCCTTCCTCCAAGGGTGACTGCTTGTTGCTAGGGGTTTGAGTTCTGTGGGCTAATGAGGAAACTTGGATAAGCATGGAAACCAGCACAAGGAAGAATCAGGGTACACAGTGTCACCTGCCTAGTAGCAGAAGTAAAACCACACACTGCTTGGTTCAGAGGCAAAACCATAAAACTGCCTGCTGCTCACTGTCTCAGAGCATTGCAGAGGCTGGTTTTCTCCTACTTTTAAAGGGCTTGTGTTTCTATTCTGACCCTACCTAAGGGTCCTGTCTTCCCCACAAGGACAGAGCATTCATCACCCCTCATCCCTCTTTCACTTTACCCTGCTTTGCTACCACCTTCAGGTGCTTACGATGTCCTTGTGTGTGTGTGTGTGTGTATGTGTGCACGCGCGCCTCACCAGCTCACCTGTCTCTGTCTCCTCCTTAAATGGGAGATAACAATGGCCTTTATTTTTCCCATCATAACCCTAATATCTGGAGCAAAGTTTGACCCATTAACGAGCACTATAAAAACCTGCCGAACTGATAAAGAAGCTATGCATCGGACTGATAGAGGCATCCCCTGCCTTGTGAAGCTGCCTCTCTCTCTGCATCTTGGATCTCTGCAGCCACCTGGTGATGGCCTGCTCCCAGGAGGACTCTGAGAATCGCCTCTTCCATCTCCACTTGCACAAACCATACTCTGGCCACCAGCAGTCTGCCACACATCCTCTGCTATCTCCCTCTACTCCGAATGTCCAAGCATCTGAACACACTTCCTCTAGCACTGTCCACACCCTGAGCCCTGCAGGGCTTACTAACCCTTTCCCCACACCCACTCAACCTCACTGACTTGATTTCTTTGAATTCCAACTTCTAAACACTTCAAAACAGCAATGAATGAAAAATTACCCCAGTCTTCCAGCAGCAACACCAAAATTACATGCAGCATCTCCATGCCCCTGCTCCCCCTGAGGTCACCATGTGGAGGGGCACACCAGGTGACCCACAGAGCCATGGGAGGTCAAAACTACAACAACAGAGACACATAGCTCCCTTGGAAGGGGAAATAGGAACTGAGTTCTTTCCTATCAGGTAAAGTGGAAACTTGCTTTGTAACAGCACAGAGAGGCCAGAACCAAAAAAGAGCAACTAAGCATGACAGTTACTCTCTAGATAGGAAAGTCTGGAATTTTTAAGGGATAACACAAATAAGAATTTCCCAGGAAAAGAAGGCTCACGCAATAAATAGTGCTGAAAATTTTTATTCACTATTATAAAAATGAACTCTGCCCTCATCTCCTGCGAAATGACTAGAATATTTTCACATGGCCCAGAGGTTATTGTTTTGAGTTAAGATATGAAGAAAGAAAATGCAAATGAACATTTGTAATGATAGGGTAGTTTTTCTCAACTGCAATGATGCCGGTCTTCACAAGAATTGAATGTCTATGCCATCTTTTTTAACTTTGTTACTTAAAAATGCTCACCATTGGGATTGGTGTTTCTTTGTGAAACTAAACAAAAAAACAGTAAAGAAAATGAATAGGTAATTCCCATAACAAGCAACACAGATGGCTGAGAAATGTGAGATATAGGAATCCTAGCTTAAAAGCATGATAAATACTGCATCCTTCCCACTTACCAAACAAGCAGAGGTTGAAAGATCAACATCATCAAGTGTTGCTGAAGACACAGGACATGAATCCTCCTATGGTCGGTCTTTTGTTGACCTGTCACACAGGGAGTTTGGTGGTACCCATTACAACTGTAAGTGGGCAAACTCTTTCACTAAGAGGTTTACTAACATCTCTTTCCTAGAAAAGAATTACATTTACAATAGATAAATATTTATTACAGCATTGTTTAGTGATAGGAAAAAATAGGACCTATTCCAAAGATCCATGCAAATTGAGAAACAGTGAAATAAATAACCAGCAATATAATCAAACTATGGAATGCCATTCTATAATCATTGAATTTGTGTTACATGAAATTGAGCAAGATATCCTTCCCCAAAAAACCCCCGATCAAACTATATTGTTTAAGTGTGGAAGGATATATAAGAGATCTGAAACCAATGACACCCAAGTGGACCAGTTTTTGCTTCAGAAGAGAAGAAAGATGGGGAAGTTATAGGAGACCAAATTCCCCCAAAATGGCCACACCATCTTTTGGGCCTGCCTTATGGCATGACAAGTCCCTCTTTCTGGGCTGTGTGGTCCTGGACCAATAAAATGCACAGGAGGATGCTTTTTGATGGTCCACGCTCCAACAGTAGAGAGAATATGGCTTTCTCTTGATGCTCCCTTCCTGTGTGGACCTGTCCACCATGTATCGAGGAAGACCAGACCACATGAAGAGGCCACAGGGAGGTGGTCCAGCTCCAGCCTCAGTGAAGGTCTCAGTCAACCATCAGATGGTAAGCAAAGTTATCTTCAGATGCTTCAGCCTCCTAGCCTTTGAATTTTCCACTTGTGGCCTGGAAATTACAGAGCAGATAGCAGCCATCCATCTGGGCTCTGCCTGTTTCCCCAACATGGGAACCATAAGCCAAAGAAAAAGGTGGTTTTAGAGGGCATGGCAGTACATGTCTACAGTCCTAGCACTCAGGGTGGGCAAGGGAGGAGGATCGGGAATCTGGGCCTAGCTTGGGCACTTAATGACTTGGTGAAACTCTATCTCAAAATTAAAAAAGAAATTTAAAGTTTGGGGATGTGGCTCAGTGAGAAGGGCCTGGGTTAGATCCTCAGTATTGGGGGTATAATTACACAGTCATGGTAATATAATGGACATTGATTTTCCTTGCAATGTTTAAATAAGATCTCATGAGGCAGCTCACCCACACCATATGTGTCCTACACATCTCCCTAGCACAGTGAGAAAAACCTCAGGACCAGGTGAACACTGTGGTTACCTGGGATAACTTGGGGGACAGTCACATTACCACAACCCATGTCCCTGACTGTTCAGCCTTGTGTTCATATCCAGTAGCCTCAGATTTATTCTCCTGGACCCCAGGGGAAACCACTTTCCCAACTGGGTCTCAAAGTTTGCAAACAGTTGCTTTTGTGTTTAACCTTACTGTTCTTCATATGAACATCATGGTTTCTCCTATATAAGAAACCCATAATATAAATAAATTAAAAGTAGAAATAAATAATAGGAAATAAGAAATTAGATATTTAGCAAAAGGAAAGGGTACAAAGAGCTGAATTGAGCAGGAGGGAGAAGAAGGGATGTAATAAGAATTAAAACACATTCTGTACCTGTACCAACTCCCCATGATAAATGAAGCATTACACACTGCAAACATGCACTATTAAAAAAATAAATAAATAAAAACCACTATTTTCTAACATCCTTTGAGTTAGTTCTTTTTCCCCAGAATCTGTATATGTACTTTTTAAGTCGATCAATGGCCCTACCACACAGATGGGAGGATGGGATGTGGATGGGAGTTGGAAGCCCATGGGGGTAGGCGTAGCATGGGTAGGAGGGCTAAGGATGGGGCTTCCACTTTAGGCCCAGGCTGCCCCTTGCTGTCTCCTCAACCCATCCACAGAACAGCTTAGGGAAATGCTGCTAATGGAATGCAACTGTCCCTCATCCCTGTAGCCTCTGGCTGTTTCTGTCCCTGGAAAGGGGCTCTGTCCCAGCCCTGCCCTGGCTCGTGAGGATATTGAGTTAAGACCACCCATCCAGGGTTTCTGCCCCCACCCTTACATCTCCCTAGCATGCAGTTTTCCAGCTGTTTCTTTGGCCTTGCCAGGAACCTCCCTGCTTCACTGTAGCAGCCAGCAGGGATGGTGTGCAAAACCCCAAAAGTCCCAGCACAGCACTTTCTTGGAGCTGAGGCTGACTCCCAGCCAGCTTGCTGCACACAGCACTTGTGAGACTTGACCT